TTTTTACTTAATATTTTATTTCTTCTATCACCCAGTAGTTTTAAAGAAGGGTGTTTTTCAGTTTTCATGTATTTGATCTTTCCCCTTGATGTTCCTATTTTTAAGTTAAGATAACTTTGTTGTCTGAGAAGATGCTTTGTATTATTTCAGTGTTTTAACATTTATTGAGATTTGTTTTGTGGCCTAAATGGATTTCTATCCTGGAGAGTGATTCATGTGCACTGGAAAAGAATGTGTATTGTATATTTGTTCCGTAAAGTGTTCTGTATATGTCTCTGAAGACAAGTTGGTTTATTGTATTGTTGAGATCTTCTGTCTCTTTGTTGAGTTTCTATTTTGTTTTCTGCTCTTCACCAGAAGCAGTGTATTAAAGCCTGCTATTCTTATCAGGCTGCAAACCTTAAGGTCAGCAGTTTGAATCTACCAGGCACTCCGCAGGAGAAAGATGAGGCATTCTGCTCCCGTAAAAATTTACAGCCTCGGAAACCCTGTACAGGGTTGCTATGGGTTGGAACAGACTCAAAGGCATTTAACAACAACAACAATTCTTACTGAGCTGTCTGTTTCTGTTTTCAATCATGTTAATATTTGCTCTATGTATTTTGGAACTCTTTCATTCTGTCCAATACTTTCTTTCTCTTTCTATCCCCTAGATTATTGCAATGCCTCCTATTTGGTGTCATTGCTCTCCTCCTTTCTTCTCTGTAGTCTTTTCTCAATCACCCAATAAACAAATTAATTTTAGAAACATTAGATCATATGATTGTTTTGGTCTCAAAACCTTCCAATACTTTCCTATTGCCTTCTGGTTAATCCTCAGACCCTTATAATATCCTACAAGAATGTATCTGACCTGGCCTTCAGCAACCTCTTTAATCTGATTTCTTGATATCCTGCCCCTTACTCACTGAGCCTCAGCCACCTTGATCTTACTGCAGTTTCCAGACTCACTAAGCATGATCCTTTCTCTAGATCTTTGAAATCATCATGCCACCTGCCTGAACACTAACCTTCAAGGAATCTTCATGGTGGCTCTTCAATTCTTTGGTCAAATTTCGCTCTAACAAAGATATCAGTCCTAATTATACTATAGAAGGTAAGCTTCACAGTGTGGCACTGTGGGTTGATGCTCTGGACTGCAAAGTCAGTTTGAACTGCAAGATTGGTGGTTCAAGCTCACCAGCCGCCCCTCGGAAACCCTATACAGGGTCTCTATGGGTCAGAACATACTCTACAGCACCTAACAACAACAACCACTTTCACCACCATTACTGCCAAGACCACTAGAATGCCCTTTCATCTTTACTCTGCTGGATTATTCTCCGTAGTACTTACTATCACCTCACTTTGTTATTTGCTTATTAATCATCTCCCTTTAGCAGAAGGTAAGCTTCATATTGGAGTCCTGGTGTGCTGCTGTGGGTTAATGCACTAGACTGCAAAGTCGTTTGAACTGCAGGGTTGGTGGTTCTAGCTCACCAGCTTCTCATTGGGAACCATATAGAGGGCCACTATGGGTCAGAACCAATCAATGGAACTTAACAACAACAAGCTTCATATTGCTGCATCCTTAGCATCCTGGACTTGGGCCTGGTACAGAGCGAGTGCTCAGTGTTTGACTGAAGGACTAAGTGAATAATTAAAGTGGTCAGTTCCTTGAGGGCTTGAACAGTCTGCTCACTACTCCCTCAACTATTATAACATAGGATTCTACCACTGTATTTTGTTGCATCAATTAATTAAAAATGACACTGATGTTTAGTCGGCAGTGTTCTCAGATTCTGTTTCTCTCCTTTGGTTAGTTGATTGTATTCGGTTTAATATATATATTTTTAATATGTTTAGAAGATTTGTTGTTACTGTTATTAAGATAAAGTCAGGGGAAAAAGTCCAATTTTAGTACTACATGGTCATTGAGTCCCTATATACTTTACTGTTGTGTAATGAGTCAGGGTAACTTTTTGACTTTCACTACAAGGATTTTTGTATACTTTAAATAGGAAAGCAACTGATAATTCTCTTCTTTTGACTCAGGACTATGTCTGGACGAAGACTCCGGGAAGCTGTTCAAGCAGTAAGTTAAAAATGAAGTATCTAAATCTGACTTCCTAAATGTATTCATTCATATTTAGTGTAGTGGAAGAATTTTCCATCTCTGTGATCTTGCACCTTTTTAAATGTATCTTTCCTAAGATGACAGGAGAATCTCTGGCGGCACAGTGTTTAAGCACTTGGCTACCAACCAATAGGTCAGCAGTGCAAACCCAGCAGTCATTCTGCAGGAAAAACATGTAGCAGTCAGCTTCCATAAAGATTTGCAGTCTTAGAAACTCTATGGGATAGGTCTCCTCTGTCCATTGGTCAATATGAGTCAGAATGAACTCTATGGCAGTGGGTTTGGTTTGCGTTTTTGAAGCTGATTCAAGTTTCATATTTATTGAAAGTAATGGTTAGGTGTAATTATGAAATAATGGTGGTATAAGTGTCAAACTAAAACTATAAGGAAACTGTGATCATATTGAAAATATTGTACTGGTACCTATTATTAATAACTTAAAATTGTAATGGTTTTGTAGGTTAAACACCAAATAATTCCTAATATGATAATATGTTAGATTCACGTATGCAGTGTAAATAAAATACATCGCATGTTGGGGATGCTGTATTTTATCCTTACTTACAACTGTCTTTATATTCAGGAAGTATTGAAAAGGATTCTAAAATGGTGTAATTGTCAACTATCTTGTTATTGGGATCTGGAAATGACTACTCTGTTTAGCTAATCTCCACCCATAATCACATAAAAAAAAATAGTGATAAAAAATAGCTGTTTTTTAGTAATAGGAAGATTCTACCACTGCAAATACAACCACTGAGATTTCCTAGACCCATTGACTTGCATACTTGTAGTGCAGTTAGGTCTGTAACTTTTCATCAAGGAATCTTCATATCATAAGTTTTTTCATTAGGAAGAATTTTACTAAGACAGACCTCTTAGAGTACCAGTTCATAATTATCATTGTACAATAAGTAGAACTGAATGATAATATGCTTTAAGATGAAGAGTAAGTTATTAGTCTTTGCCTTTTGTCCTAGGAATTTGCATATTATGGGATGCCGAATATGACTGTTGTTATTTCGGGTCTATGCAATGTTTATACACATTACATTACCACTTATGAAGAATACCAGGTAATGTACAACTTTCTCAATATTAAAATTAAGCCTTGGACAAGGTTACTGTACCAGATGCAGACTTTCTTTGTAGACTTCCCCAGTCGTGTTTCTGTGAGATGATTTTGCCTTAGGGGAGATAAGACAAAATAATAAACCAAAGATTGTATTTGGAGATTCCATGTTCACGATTTTTAAAGTCAGTTCCAAATTCTGTCTTCACTGACTTCTACCTTCCCTGAAATAAATGATTTTACTAGGGATATAGCTAATAAGACTGGGTTATGGCATGCAACACTCCTAGCTATCCATAATGCAACTGGTGCCTTAGGCCTCTGTAGAATCTGGGAAAATTTCCATTGATAGTTACTATTCATTGGCTATAGTAGTTTAACACTGTGCCCTCAGTTTATGCAGGAGTTACTGAGACTTTCCCCTTTCCTTGTTTTTTTTTCCTTTCTGCGTACTTTGGAAGGAAAACATTTATACTTTTAGCATTGACAACAGACATAAGTTTAGGAGCTATATTAGATTTAATAGGATGACAGTCAACACAACATAAGACAGAGAACCTACTGCCTTTAATTTGGATCCATTTAATTTGACTGGTAAATGGAAATATCTACCTTTCTTTGTAATAATTAAGCTTGTATTATATGAGATTCTCAAGCATTACCTCTCAGATAAAATCTGACTCTTCTGAAAATGGATGGGGATGAGAAGAACCACATCCAAAGCTCCCCTGCCTCTCCTGCAGGTTCAGAGGTACGAAGCAGCATCTACTATTTATGGGCCACATACTCTGTCTGCTTACATCCAGCTCTTCAGAGGCCTTGCTAAAGCCATTGCCACGGTAATCAAATATTGGGGGTGTGTACCTGTGAGTGTGTGTGTATCTCATGGATGGAGAGATGGCAGGGACAAAAAAGAACCTTAACATCAAGTGTTCAATTACTTTTTAGAGACAGTTATAAACTACTGTTGTTGTTGTTAAGTGCCATCAGGTCGCTTCCGACTCATTACGACTCTACAGGGTTTCAAGGAGCGGTTGGTGAATTTAAAATGCCAACCTTGTGGTTCAAACCTACCTTGCTGTCTAGTGCATTACCCGACAGC